ATTTCAGCAATTAATGCATATATGATATGTACACCCACACACAGCATGAGTTATCTAGATTGAACCTCATTAAGAACACCTAAATTGTCTTCAAATCATGACAGTTACAAAAAGGTGTTGATTTATAAAAAAAGATCACAGCCAGGCTTTAAATGCAGACATTGGCATGTTCACTCTGCCTGTCCCTAGAGAAGACAAAACACAAGCCAGCTCTAGCTGGGGACTGCTTGCATCCACAGTGCAGTGCTGTGTCTAAACAAATAAGCCCCGCAGGTGACTGCAGGCTGCTGGATGGAGTTTGTATTAGCATACACAAGCTTCTGTAAACTATTAGCAGGTGTTAAGCTTCCTCCTGGCATACTTGAAGTCACTATACATAACACCTAATTATGAAATTATAAGAGTTCTAATAAATATTTCAAATTATATTTTTTTAAAAAATGGTGACCATATCTGTTCTTATTGCCAAGTTGATACATGTAAACCAAGTGAGTTCAAAATCTTTAGTGTAGGCTCACCTTCATGACAAGTTCTGAAAACTTCGGAGAGCTGGCTGTTGCTAGCAGACTGTCTTGGAGCAAAAGAAGCAGAGCACTAGAAAGAATAAATTTATAACAGTTACTCAGGAAAAATGCTACACACAAATAGAGATGCCAGCTCCCTGCCCAATACCCCACCAAAGAATGGGGTTAGTCCAACAGCTTACATCATGTTGTGTCACAGCTCGCTCCTTTCTAGAATGTGACAAGAGTTTAAGAGGCAGTCTGCTGAACTACAAAGCCTATAGAATCATACTAAGCTGGTTTGTTTAGCCTGCCTCCAGATCTGCAGATTGTGCAGTCAAATTCTGACCACTACTGACTATCAGTGATAATTCATTAGCCAGCTGCATGATTCTACAGACGTCATTCTTTGCTTACAGATTCTGTGACCAAACAAGCTCAGCCATTCCAGGAACACACTAGAACAGGCGAAGAGAAGCAGTAATTGTGCAATTTTCATTATATACCTCAAGATGTTGGTCTGGTCAGACTTTTCCAGAACTTTCACTACCAAGAGGTTGACTGATCGGATGACCTGCTCACCCTCCTCAAGGTCTTCAACCCGAGAATCCAGCATTAATGTAATAAGACCATGCATTAGGTCCTTCAGCACACCAGTGGAGGCCTCTCGAGCCAGACTCTCTATCTGAAATAGCTACAAATGGACAACAGTATTAGTTTTCCCTGCATGTAATGCTTTAGTGTAAGTTCTCTAGACTACCTTGTCAAATCATTTGACACACCCCCATCCCTCCCAACATTAAACAACAAAAATGTAACCAGGAAGTTATTTCTACTGAGAGACTTCTGAAAATACATAGACCATCAACTAAGCACTCACAAGGTAAGCAATATTAAAACAGAGCTTAATAAAAGCGTTAAGAGTGGCTGTATTCTGTGGAAGCAACAGACAGACCTCCTTCCCTTCCCTAATTTCTCATTCCCCACTCCCTCTCAAAAGGTGCATTGCTAGAGCAGACAATTAGCAACAAGCCTTCCTAAATAAGACTCAATAATAAGCTAACGTAGGTATAGGACAGACATTCCATTCTCCTGCAACTTCTGCACAGAAATTATTTGCTCTTCACCTTAACTTTTAGGTCAAAGCCTTACCGAGATCATGCTCCCAATAATACAGCTGTAAAGTTTGACTATCTCATCTTTGTCAAGCTTCTCATCTGCCATGTGTGTGTTGTAGATTAGACGAAGTTGCATCAATGTAGCTATTAGGAATTGGTCAATGTGGCCAGACATAGCTTCTGCTTTGTCTTCCTGTCTGAGAACCTCATCAATCTAAGATTTAAAAACAAAACATCCAAGAAAAGTCAACATAATGTAAATAGTGCAAAATAACTATAATTTAATAACTTTTCTACAGAAAAAGTCTTGCCCTGCCCAATCTAATTGCCAAGGCACTTCTGTTCTAAGCTTTCATCTGAAATCAGTAGCCACAGACTTCTATTGCTAATCCAAATACAACCAATTATTGATACTGCAATCCTATCCTGTACACAAATAAAAACATGAAATGCTGCATTATGGATTCTGTAATTAACAGCTTTATGAAATCTTCTTGATAAAATATTTCTAAGTAGTTAAAGCCACCCTAGAAACATGTAAAAGCTATGAGGCAAGACATTTATTTTGCTGGGGATCTTAAATGTAAACTGTTTTACAAAGTTAAGCCTCAATGGCTTAACTGGCTTTTTCAAATGTATAGCACAGATATCCTTCTTTTTTTCTTAGCGCTTCTGTGTTAAGAGTCTCTTCTACATCATCCAAATGGAATTTCTAATGCTAAAGCGAGTCAGATGGCCCCTGTGCACTTAGTTTTGTCATCAGGGAGATTCTGAGCAGAGTCCATGTCACCTGACATGATTGCTCCACCACAGTGCAACTCATCACCCTCGCAGACAAATAGTTTAGTACAGTGTGATTAGCTGCTGCCTTCATTCGCTTACCTGTGCCAGAGCCTGGATGCTTGTATTTATATCACCACTGGCTACTTGGGAAATGACAAAGTTGATAGTAGAAGCTGTGTTACTGTGCATGTCATCAAAGTGCGGGGACACAGCACGGATTCTAAACAGTTGAAGAAAACAGGATTCATTACTCTTCGGAGAAAGAGCTCTAATTTACACTGAACTACTATACTGCAATGACAGTTTAGAGACAAGGATTTAATTCTTCACAGAACACTCAAGGAAGGAATCATAGCTCTTAATATGTTTATTGCACTACTTGTGAAGACACTGATGATGCATTCACAAACTCAAGATCCTTTTACTAACCAAACACGTAATCAGAACTTGTTCTTCATTAGAAATAGCTGCTCTCCAGATTCCAGAACAGTACAATAGACCATCACTTTGACATCTCTCTTCAAATTAGCCAGCACTACCTTCTTATGTAAAGAAGTCCGAATGTGGAAACCAGCACGGTCAATTCACTTCTCAAAATAGTTTTTACGTAGCCCTACTGGTTTCACGTAGGAGTTAAAACTAGACTTACTTGGGCTCAGGAATCAAGACTGGCTCAAAGATGTCATCTAGTTTGTGCTGTACAAGTGCTGGCATCTCACATCTGACAGTACCATTGTCATTTTCAATTTCATCAAGATCCAGCTGAAATTCCCGTGGAACTGTAGGCGTTGTCTCAGAGTGACTGCCCATGTTGCGAGTTTGGCTATAGAAACCAGGAGAGATGTTTATGATATGTACACAAGAGGCAAGAGTACTAGCACTAGCATCCACTGGTAGCCCTAAAGCTCTCATAATAATAGAACAGATTTTGAAGTTCTGATTTTATTCAAGCCCCCTAATAATCCCCTTTGCCTTTCCTCTAGCCATTAGTAAAACAAGCTTTTGTAGGCCAGCAGAGCAGCTCCTAGTTACTTGCCTTTCTAGTTTCTCTTATAAGCCACCACAAGACCCCCTGCATCTGTGATAGGTATGCACTGGTTCATTCTGACAGATACCTAGGCACAGTTTAAAGTAGGATTAATGGAATATAGTGGTAATGAGTGGCTTTTTAAAAATGATGAATAGGATGCCTACATACATAGCAACCTTGCAAGCTGAACCTAGGACTCCCAGCATCCTGCATGACTTGTGCTGCAGATTAGATTTTTCAATGAAATGTTCTAATACATAGTTCCGAACAGGCACTTTTATTCCAAGATAATAAGCAGGTGGCAAGGAATACAGCTTCTGAGCTTTTTGTTTCTGGTACTGTTGCCTCAGGCTCTATGCTTCACACTTGCTCATCCAGTTCTGTGCTGTATGTCTGCCCTAATGAGAACAAGATGCATTCAACACCAAGTTCGATGCTACACAAAAGAAGTTCTCCAATATTTCTAACAGCTGGAAGTGGAAGTGCCACATCTGCCTGCAGTTTGATCTATAGTCACCTTGTCAGAAACCCGTATTTTTGCTTTCTTTAAGTCAGAGACCTGTAAATAACCTAGAAGTGGCCATGGTAAAACCTGTCACACTCAGGAAGGGATGACTAAGACAGAAACTGAAAGATACAAGAGCCTTGCTACCAAGGATTTAGTGGGCAGTACTTACATCCTATAAGTGCGATACATAATTCTGTCCATGGAGAAGCAGTGAAAAAAGGCACAAGACCATTTAGAAAGATTTCAAGACAGACAAGACAAAAAAGAGATTCAGACATTTTGTTTTATATTATTTGGCCAATTTTCACAACATGCAGAGATGATGATAGAAGAACTAAAATAACATCGCCAGACATGATATTAGCACATACACTATGCAGGCTAGACCATAATGTATCATTACATACTTGAGTTTGGAGGACATGTCCTCAGCTGGTCCTTTCCGCAGCATGCCAGCAGTAGTGCTGATGTTTTGGGTGCGCTGAGGTTTCTCCTCTGCCTGTCTCACTGGAGCAGCAGACGGTCTCTTGGCTGACCGTTTTATTCTTTCCTCCAGCATGCTCATGTCTTTCTCAGAAAGCTATAACACACAATGCTCTCAGTCAATTTGAGTTGTATGGATTTTAAAAATCTTGGCCACCTACAGGAGGTGTACTCCTTATTACTGCAGACTGAAATTCTCTAATACTAAGGGGAGGAACTGGAATGCCACCATCTAGCAACAATCTAATAGAACCACTCTGGACTGCCAGATACTACTCCAGGAGCTAATTAACCCATACTGACAAGCGGTAATACCCATTGGGAGCCCAGGCAATGTTTTAACACTACAGACCCTGCCACAGAAACCAGGGTCCTTCTAACAGTTGACCTGTTTGATGTACCCATAATTCAACCTGAACACAAGGCAAGCCACCCGAACACTCCAACTCATGCAGTGAGAGAATTGCATTTACCTGCTTACCTACAGGACTGAAGGTTACCAATAACTACATTTGAACAAAAGTAGCTGTGATAATTTTGTGGGAAGTTACTCTCCAGCATCCCTCTGATTTGGAAACCTTCCTGAAAAGCCATGTATTTTGGGACTAGATGGACCATACTAAAGCTCAGAAAGCCATGGTTAGAAGGGGCTGAATTGTTCAGGTACTACAGTTCTTTTCCTAACCTTGAAAATCCAAAAGCAGATGGACTAAACACTGAGGAGACAGACTGCACTCTGAACAAGAGTTAAAATAAGACGGGAATTGAAAATATTAATGAAAATGCAACATTAATTCTCATGGAGATGGTTACCAGACAAAATAAGAGTCATGCTAAATTTCAACATTTCAGGAATTTGGGGAAAAAAAAACAACACAAAAGGCAGACTTGCTTCCCTGCTCATTGTACTCCATAAAATATCCCTCCAATAGCTTGTATGTACTATGGCATACAACACAAAAAATTAGTACAGGCTTAATATATCTATCATATTCCCGCCAGTTTAAGTGATGCTAGAAGCATTACCACATCAGAGGACAGAACAGGAAAAAAAGTGGTCTAACAGCTCTCGATTCAGGTTAGAATTCAGTACAATTAACCTGTTATGCACAGTAATTGTAGACAACACACTCAACTAGCTTTCCACTGCTGAAGACTGAAAACTGAGTGTTGCCACCTTTAACTTTTACTGCATTTTAGATGACATGGCTACATATGATTTCCTGAGAACAAAACAGCAGCAATACAAAGCAACACAGTACTGACACAGACCTTAAGCACAGGAATGCAGTAAATTAGAGCAAACAAACCAAACTTACCAGACTTCAATTGCAAAGCAGTTGGTGGAGATGGGCATTAAAAAAAAGCCAAGAGTACTTGGAGCCCCAACAACTAGCCTTTTTTGGCCAAAAGAGTTACCAAATATAATTCTAAGTCACAAATATTACCTATACAGTTGACTATAAAGCAAGTTACTATTTATAAACAATTTAATTCCCGTGAAAGCCAGTGTTTTGCTCGTTTCCTCAAATTTAATTTTTCATTCATAAACACTCAGGTTGCATATCCCACAATCAGGAATTAACCAACTAACTTGTAGAGGCTCTACAGTGTAGCAAGTTATTTTCAACATTACAAAATGTGCTTGACACCAACAGTGAGATGTACCATGACCAATCACAAGCAAAACAGTGTTAATCCCCTACACAAGTGTAAGGATTTAAAAAAAAAAATCTGATTTCCAGTTACACTCACATTTCCAATCAGCTTGAACACTTGGTCGCCATAAACATTATAGACAGTCACAATGGTGTTCAGTGCAGCATTGCGCACAGTGTTGTCCCTATCACCAATATGAGTTGCCATTTCTTTTAAGGCTTTCCCTGGAGTTGGCTGGCATACATTCATGCCATATGATTCAACCAGACATCCAAGTTCTTCCAGGCATTCTAAAGGAAGAAAGTGACACGCGCACATTCAGGTTTAAAGCTGCTGGGAAGAGAGCCCTCCCAGTTTTGTGAACATTCACTGTAAAGAAGCATCAATCACAATGCTGATGATAAATATACTTCCAGGTGGTTTATGGGATGAATAGTAAACTAAAGGTTCAAACTACTTCACAAAAATAGCATCTAAAAGCTGTCAGTCATCCCTATCCCCTTCAACTATTTCCTGTTACCATATATAAGCAGAGTTACAGTTAACTTCACATTTAGGTAGTTTAGACAGCAGTGAGCTTGCAATGCTATATTACATATATAATTTAACTTTCAGGTTATATCAGGATGAGATACTCTCAAGGTGACTGGGGAGTTGGTTGAACTACAAACACCATACCACAAATAATTTCTATGAAGTTGAGACAGATGTACAGTGTAGAGACATTTCTTTCCAAAGTCTTGATCAGATTAACCAATTCCCTTAGTCACCTGGACAACAGTATTATCACTGTTCCCTCCAGTACTGTTTCACTAGGACAACAAGCCTACTCAAGGGAGACTCATCTTAATGCTGATAGCAATTTAAAACATTGCTTGTCTTTGGAAGGTACAAAGACACAAAAAATAAAATCTGATCCTTTAAACACTTACAAGGATTTGCATAAAGTGCTGTACATAGGCAAATCTCACATTCCATCAAACATTATATGCTGGGTTTTTTGAGATGAAAATTAAAGCAATTTTAAGTACTTTACAAATGTGCAGTTCATCATGCCATTTCCCACCTGCACGCTGTTTTGAGTTTTTGGATTTTGTCCCCTCCATGATGAAAGTGAACATCTTGCTGGCTGGATAGATGAGACACATCCTGTTCAGAATGGCACGCACATCCTTGCGGATGACATCTTTCGGTTCTCCTACCTAGTGGAAAAGTAAAAAAAAAAAAAAAAAGAGGGGAAGAAATAATATTTTAAACAGTCTCATGATACTGTCAATTAGTCTCAATAATGTTAGAAAAGCCAGAATTATTCTCAATGCAGAACTGCCTTTCAATAAATGGCTTTTAAAGGCAAATATACAATATAGAATCAAAATAATTCAGGTTGGAAAAAACCCTTAAGATCATCAAGTCCAACCACTAACCTATCACAACCAAGACCACCACCAAACTATGTCCCTAAAAGACATGTAGGTGTGGTGCTTAAATACCTCCAGAGATGGTGACTCTACCACTTCCCTGGGCAGCTTGTTCCAATGCTCCATAACCCTTTCAGTGAAGAAATTTTTCCCAATATGCAATCTAAACCCTTCCTGGTGCAACTTGAGACTGCTTCCTCTTGTCCCATCTCTTGTTACTTGGGAAAAGAGATTGACACCCACCTCACTACACCCTCCTTTCAGGTAGTTGTAGGGAGGGATCATGTCTCCCCTCAGCCTCCTTTTCTCCAGGCTGAACAACCCCAGTTCCCTCAGCCGCTCCTCATAAGACTTGTTCTCTAGACCATTCATCAGCTTCATTGCTCTTCTTTGGATACACTCCAGCATCTCCACATCCTTCTTGTGGTGAGGGGCCCAAAACCGAACACAGTATTCAAGGTGCAGCCTCCCCAGTACTGAGTACCGGGCAAAGATCACTTCTCTAGTCCTGCTGGCCACACTACTTCTGATACAAGCCAGGATCCTATTGGCCTTGTTGGCCACCTGGGCACAATGCCAGCTCATATTTAGCTGGTTGTTGGTCAACGCCCCCAGGTCCTTTTCTGCCAGGGAGCTTTCCAAGCACTCTTCCCCAAGCCTGAAGCATTTTATGGGGTTGTTACAACCCACATGCAGGACCTGGCACTTAGCCTTGCTGAATCTCAATACAGTTGGCTTTGGCCCATCAATCCAGCCTGCCCAAATCCCTCAGTAGGGCCCTTCTACCTTCAAGCAGATCAACACTCCTGCCCAACTTGGTGTTGTCACAAACTTATGGAGGGTGCACTTGATCCCCTCCATCCAGATCACTGCTAAAGATATTAAACAAAACTGGCCCCAATATTGAGCCCTGGGTGGGGAATACCACTTGTGACAGGCCACCAATTGGCTTTAACTCCATTCACAATATATTTGGAATGAACATATTACAGCGTTTGATGGTATCCTGCTACATCCCTTGTTAAAAACAGTTTCTATACAATGAACCGTACCTTTAGGATAAGATATGGGATAAAAGAAGATGCTTCGTTTTCAGTGAGGTGATACTCTTCTTGACTCAGCAAATGGAAAAGCAATTTAAGGTATTCAAGTGCTTTCATCAAAACACTTGTGTTGGTATCAAAGAACCGCAGGGTTAGCCATTTTAAGACCAGATCCAGGCAGCTGATGACTCCATCTTTTTCACTCTCCAAGTGCTTGAAGTGAAAGAAAAAAAAAAAAAGGAGGTTGTGCAAAATGAAACACACTGTTCAAGGAAAGAACAGAATATAAGGAAAAGCTATGCCTGATAAAGACTGTCTACATTAATTGCTTCAGTCCTAGAATCCTAAGTGCTCAGTTTTAACTTTTACAGCTTTCTGACATTCTAAGAGAAGTCTCCAGTGAGGAAATTTTTCATTCTCCCAGGAAACAATATTAATACCAACTTCAGCATTCCTCTGAAAATTATTTCTATGTATGCTAAGGTTTCAGCTTCACAGAACAATCCCTGGCTTCTCAGAGAATTCCTATTTAATTCAAGCAGAACCTTTCATAGCAGGGAATAATTCTATACTACTACCACAGATCCAAACTCACCTCAATCATAACAGCCAGTGCTTTGTTGTGGTGCTGAAAGTCTGCATGAAACATCTCATCCTGTAGCCATTTGGCCACACAACTAGACATTTGTGTTTTGAGCTGTTCAATATATTCATCACGGGGAGTAGTGAAATTCCACTTTAACACCTGTAAAAGGCAGCATTTGAACCTCAAAGCAAGCCATACCTTTTCTTCCTGAAAAAATCTGCAAATTGCATCCTTTTTAATTCTGATTTAGAATCTGTTTTCAAAGTCTTCTCATTATCAAGAAGTAACGGGAAAAATTCTGTGATGTTTGCTCACCTTGGCTTACATGAAAGATTTTCTCTATGTGGAGGGGTTCACTTTAGGCCATTGTTTTAGATATTATCACTTAAAGTGGTTGCTTTTAAGATATAGATAGGCTTATTTACTAGCAAATTACAAATAACATGCATGGAACAGAAGCAGTAATTAGATTTTCCTACAAGAGACAGCTTGATGAGCAGGGCTGCTCAAAATAAGTTTATTAAAGCATTTACAATGTATCCTAGCGCTCTGAAATTAGTCAAATGTTTTCAGGTAAAAACTTGATGATACTTCACAACTGAAGACTACCCCTTGCAAGTTGCAAAGAGTTGTTTGGTTTTTATTAGAGCATATAAATTAACAAAATTTTTTAAAATCAGAAGAGAAACACCACAGTAAACCAGATATAGGCCTGTGAAAGTCAACTGAAAAACTCAATAATCAGTCCAACAGATAGATAAAAACTACCACTTTCATGCCTCAGCATGTTTAATTTTAAATTAAAAACCAAAAGAATACACTAAAATTACCCTCCTTCAAAACTAGTGAATACATTCAGATTTTTCTCACCTTCAAACCTTTCTCATCTTTCATCCTCTGTTCTTTCCCATTTGGGACTACGATAAAAATAGGACCTGATTTATCATCATCTTCCTTCAAATTAGGCTTGCTTAGCACTTTCTTCCCCTGTACACCCTGAAAAAAGCAAGGTATTAACAGGCAACACAAGACCTGTACATGCCTCAGTCCAAGCAATTGCAAGCGTTAGATACCAGCCAACCTCATGCTGCCTATGTGTACAAGAGACAGAGAGAAGCTGCAAGAATAATGCTGATTAGAATCTTCTGTGGAAGCAATACAGCGTGTGCAGTAGCACCCTACCCTGTGAAATAGGACACATCACGCAACCAGTGTGCTAGTCACCCACACACATCCCTAAAACCCAGTGTGGTACCTGTTTGATAGATTTGCTCTTTGTCAGACTGGTATTGCCTTTGCTGAGGCTTGTACTGCCCTTGGACATACCGCTATTAACATCTGACTGCTGTAAATAAGCCACAGAAAAGGCTTTGTTGTTAGACAACTATTTACTCTTCAGAGTTACCCATCCAAACCTTCTAATGCATGCACAGCAAAGGCATTAACTCTAGCATCAGAGTGTTGACAGCAGAATGCATCAGCTCGGGCAAAGCTACAACATCCTTCAAGGTTTGTTCAGTCTGGGGATGTTTTGTTTTGGTTTGTTTGTTTTTAAGTTATATACATAGGACAAACTTTAAAGTTAATAGCAAAAAAAAAATACTGCAACACAAAACAGAAAAACCTAACCACAAACTCAAATGTAATCAGTTGAGACTATTATTATGCATTTAAGCATTTTTCTTCCCTTTTTTCCACTTGTGACCAATAACATTTTACTCTTCATACTGCAAGGGAGAGATTAATTTCTTTTGATACACGCATTCAAAAATTATTGTTCAAAGCGTAACACTGGAACTGCAATGGTAAGAATGAATTCTCAGCAGCATGGGAGCAAAGACGCCAAACAGATTTAGAACATGGACTGAGCTGCACAGAATTTAATGTAATTTTTTACAACAGGCACTTTAAGAATTAAATAGGTAATGACAAAAGTAGCGGTTAAGTAAATGATATGGGAACATCTGTCATTTCAGAACTCAGACAAGCATACAGATTTTCTGTAAAAGCAGTCCTTAGCAAGGGCTCTACTCTTCTACATATAATACATTCATGAACTACAGCTATTAACTTCAATGAACTGATTTTATACAAAATGGAATCAACATACCTTAGCTTTAGAAGAGACTCCTCCTGCTTTGGCTTTTTTGGGATCAGGCTTGGATTCCATACTATTGGACACTGAATCTTCAGAAAGTGCTGGAGAAACAACAGACCATTTCAAATTACCAACAAGGCCATTTGAGGTCAGCACAGTCTTCCATTCTTAGGAAGAAAGTAAAACTGTTTGTGGATACAATATGCTTACCACACAGAGGTCTGAGGATTTTAGACCCATAAAAAAGTTCCTTAAATTCCATGTTAGCATATAAAGTTTTCATAATTAAGATCATAATAAGTTATCAAATTTGTCACTATCAAAACAATTTTAAAATGCATGCACACATACACTGTGCAGGCTAATGTCTAGAGCTGTCATTGCACCCAGTTTGAGCAGGCAAGCTAGCCACAGCAGAGAGAAGACAGGACTGCTTCTTCAAGTCACTTCTCCCCTAATCCTGTTATCCTGTCTTTTGCATCAGGACAAGTATTTTGGTAGCCCTACAGTGAATTACACTGGGGAAACAGACTGGATAAAAATTAATGTGACAACATATAAAAAAATACTATGCTACAATCAGATCAGTATTACAAAAAAAAAAAAGCCTCACGTCCATGGGTTTTAACTTCAATACCAAGTAGAGATTTTCAAAGAGAAGCTGGCAGATGGTTGTGCGGAAAGGAAAAAACCTCCTACACTGAAAGTTGACTCAACTGCAAGTAAGACCAGAACTGGAGATAAACCCACTAGAATACACATCTATTTGTAACCTTAACTATGTTGAACTCCTCTCCTCCTAAGTATCCTTCTTCCTCGGCCATGTCGGAAAGCTTCCCTGACAACCTGAAAGCTTGAGTTCCCCAGCAGAGATGCATGAGACCATTCACTTGTTTCCATACACACACACACACAGAATTTGAGGAAACACAAACCTAATCAAATGATTCTCTGGAAGGATACTCTTTCAGCACTGCAAAGCATTAAATCTAGACATGTTCATTTAATTTAGAAAGTCAGAAGCACTAAGATTTTAGTAACTCATTTTGTTTGTACGTTCTCTTACTTTCTAGTGTAAAAACACAACAATGAAATTAAGGCAGATTCCCAAGTTCATAGAGCAAATACTGCACAAGCACCATTATCTTTCGATCTATAAAGTGTTTTTACCCTCAGTCTGGACCACAGAGGTAGCCTAAAAAGTATAGTTCTGAAAGTTATCTTCAGAATAGATTGCTTCTCAAGCTACATATAATTTATTCTACAACAGCACACTGCAGTTAGTATCATCCATATGCAACTAAAAGCTCTTCCCTGCAGATAATCAACCTACCATCCTGATCAAACTTAATACTACAGATATAATCTAATCCACTATTTCCCATACTCATATCCTGGAAACAAGACCCCTTTCTAGAGAATCAACTTTACAGATAACATGGTCTCAAGAAACATGAATGAACACTGAAGTGCTATTTTACCAATACATTATCGTAAAGAAAAAAACAAACCCACCCCTTTCTCAGTCATTTCCCAGAACTTAAGAGAGATTACCTGAGGAAGGCTGGAATTTGGCTGGAGCTGCTCCCCCTACCACTCTGGAAGATGCTTTAGCAGGAGGAGCTGGTTTGGCTGGCATGTTGGCTTTGGCTTTCTCAAGCATGGCCAGTACCTGGTCTTTAGAAGTTGTCTAGGGAAAAACGTGAGAAGTTTGGAAAGATTAGTGATACTGATTACTGACACATGCCACAGACAAGGAAAATAACAGTGCTTCAAACCAAACTATTCTCTGTTTAGCATCTTACAGGACGCTTATCTTAAAAGATCCATGTTTTCAAATATTTCTGTTCTAAGGTAAAACATCTTTCTGTTAAGTTTCTTCTGCAAGACCTATGAAGACACGTGAACTATCAATTTGCTCTAGGTGAGCAGTCCTGGGACAGTAGTGGAGTGCTGTAACAGTGATCCAGCACTCAAGGATCTATAAGACAAACCAAATTGCTAGAAGCTGTCAAAGCATGTGTTCAGAGGCATACAGCTGGACAGTAACTGGTACAGAAGGTATCTGCAGGTAGATTTTTTTCAGAAGAAAAGCAAAATTAATAAGTATCAAGCTCTGAAGTGATAAACCTGTGGTGGCAGCAGTCCTTCTGAAGTCGAGAAAGCTCTAACTTGCGGCCTCCTTTTGCTATTTTCAGCCCCCTTGAAAGTATTCAATGCAGACTAGCTTACAGGACTCAAGACAGTATGTTGTGAGATTGCGAGCGTGACTTGATAATATCCACTCATTCAAGGTCACATTATCTAATCCTAGTGACAGCAATACCTTCAGCTTGCTGGTGGCTTTTGCCATCTTCTCAAAGCCAAGATGCATCATAAAGAATGGCAGGGCATCCTGTGCTTTTTTACGCACATCCCCGTTTCGATCTTCAAGGCAGGAGTACAGGTGAGGCACACACAAGAGCAGGTCAGAAGGAACAGACCGGAGGGTAGGCAACTTCTCAGCCAACCAACCAAGAAGCTGAAAGAAAGTTTTAAGAAAAAAAAAATTTAAGTAGTACTTGCAGTGCTCTGTCAGGCCACAAGAGCCTGAATAGTCAGCCTTTACATACCCCTAGGCAAACAGAAAAAAACCCCACCCCAAATAAAAATATTTGTTCAGACAAATACTCTTAACCAACATCAACTTTAATGTCAGCAAGGAAAAAAAATTAAAAAGTGAGTATAGAATATTATTATGCAGCTATCTTAAAACTTGGAGCGTAGCTTGCTAAGGCTGCACAGTCTGCTTCTTCCTTTTGAAGGTAACATCAGAATTTCAGCTGCACTTTACCAGTCTCAAATATGTTAATGCCTTCAGGTCAGTTCTGGTCTTCATTACTGTGTGGTTAATTTGAAGGAAAACACACTAGGTCTTAAAATGCTGATCCAACCAGACAAAAGTTTAGTTTTGGAGGCACTAAAATCTGGATAACAGCTATCATGCAGGAAGAAAGCTCATATTAGCTTTGACATGTAACAATTTTATGTCGGGGTGAACCCAGAGCTACTAGCTTACTCATGTAATGCTACCTTTGGGTCATCTCAGTCTGCATAGATAAACATAGTCCTTAGCAAGTAAGGTTTGGTTGATCAGACACACACAGGGAGAAGTTTACTTAACAGAAGCCTACCTCTTGTCTCAGGAAAGGATTTTCTTTCTTGAGCTCCTCAGACAGGTCTTCGCCTTCCAACCACTCTTTCATGCCAGTTTGTTCAGCCCAGGCATTCACAGTTGCTAGTGCAGCAGCACGAACATTGTTCTGTAGCAAGAACAAGATTTAAGAAGAACAATCCTAAAGAGGGGTCAGAAGATTACAATAAAAGAGGCAATAGATTGATCCTTCCCATGAAAGGAAAAAGCTTCTACATCCCAGGCTTTGAAATACCTATCTTTACTCACTGCTTGAGAAGTCTAAGATTCAGACGAATTTGGTTTTGGTGATAGTATCAGCTGCAGAAATCCCTGAATCAGACACTATACTTATGTACCATGATTTTTTAAAAATAACTTTAATAAAGAGGGACAAAGGGTATCTTTAAAAGCACTTTGTACCATTAATTGATGAGAATTTTAGGAGTCTAACTCTCAATCTGAAGAATAAGGTTAGTGATTTATGTAATGCTTAAAATAGACTTCACACAGTCATAAATCAAGGCAAGCACGTTATGGAGCCTGTTATTAGGGCACTCTTATTTAGGACACACGAGCAAAAGTCAAGCTAGGAACAGGGGAGCCCTACCAATTTCCATCTTTACTGTTTTTTCCAATCCAAATTTATAACAGCACCCTTTTTTGAAGCAGCTATGTAGAGTTAGGAGAAGTCAGATGGAATACTTAAAAACCACAGCTCTTCAAAATGTTATCAGTATAGACATGACTCCATACATGTGACTCTCTCGTGTAGGCTGAATTTCTGAGGCAAGCTGATAATGCAACAGACTCACCTAGATTTAGTACGGTACCTTAGCATTTAAAATTGATTCATCCAGGCACATACCTAGACAAGAAGTGAACATCCTTGCAAGTAACTATCCCCATCTTTAACCTCATTGAGGACAAGAAACAAGTCACGTGCTACATAAATAGATGCTCATCAGTTCCTTAAGGCTCTTAATCAGAGAAGAATTTGAACTAAAAGTTTTTACATAGCCTTAGGACCAGTTCTAGTCCTTCCATTGTCTGAGACAATGTAAATCCATTTTCTGCTCTTTTTCCTACTCACAGTCAGAGCAAAGACATCTGAAGTATGCCACCTCTGATAACTGCCTGTGACTTCTGGCACAAGCCATTGGCATCCTCCCAAGCCTCCTTCCCTCAGTGCTTCAAATTGCTCTTTCCTGTGGTCATAGCTTTGACACAGCATTTTGACAAGCTTGACACTGGCATTATACAAGCTTCGTGTCAGTTGCAAGTGTCCTGTTTCTACCTGCAGTTCAAAGGTCTCCTACACAGTGATACAAAAAACCAACAGTGTACACTGGAGTCCACACTGATACACTGAAAGAACAAGAGTTCTACAAGCAACTTCACCAAGCAAACCTGATTAGCATCTAAAATAGTGTATTTTCAGCTTCAGGAGTATGCATACAGTCACCACGCTTCATTTAAAAGCTGAATTATGACACCAGCTGGGTTTAGTTACAAGCAGGAGAAAATGTCTCAGAACATGTATTCCGACACACTTTCACATTTGGATAGTAAGTTGTCACTTCTTTTCAGGAACCTTTCAAAAAAATTTGTAAGCTTCCCAAGCAGCTTTAACCCTTACCCACCTCTCAAAAGCAAGGTCCAACAGCAATAGTTATTCTCAGGCATAGCTCAGAGAGCAGCAAAAAGAAAAGAGATCT